TAAGTGCATTTAATGCTGCTTTAGAAATACTATAGATTAGACTGTTCGTTTTATTATGATATCCTAAGTCTTTAAGAGTATTTGTTTCAATAGCTGCAATAAAATCTTCAACTAATTGATCAAGTTCTTTTATTGTCAATGTTGATGATGTATATTTATCTTGAAGAATTGCAGAAGATTCATGCAATGCTATGGGGCCCAATTGACTAGAAACATTGATTATACGTCCATTCTTTCTAATCATTGAAAGCAATTGTTCATTGAGTAATTTGATACTATAATAATTTACGGCAAATGTTTTTCGAGCTGCATCAACAGTAAAATCTTTTAAAAGAATTCCAGCATTATTAATAACTATATCCAATTGTCCGCCATATTTTTCTTTGATTTCATTAATTGCTTGATTGATACTTTCTATTGATGACATATCCAACTGAAGAATATGAACATTGGATGGAGAGCCAAGTTGTTCAAATGCATCTTGACCACGTTTTAAATCTCGACTACCAAGAAGAATAACAGTATTATTCGATGATGATTCGTTCAAAAGTTTTTTTACAACATGAAAACCAATGCCTTTGTTAGCACCAGTGACAAGAATTACACATTGTTGTTTTGTTGCTAACATGTTTGTAGAAGAACAACTAGTAATAATTGATAAGAACAAAATAAAGTAACTACTTACTAATGTAAGAAAGAAAAAACTTTGTCATAAAATATGAAGCTTTTTATTATCAAATATTAGTGCAAGATAAGATGCAAGAAAACTATCAATGTATTAAATCTTCTTAGGATAAATGTATCTTACATAGTTAAGTACTAAGAGAAAACAGCCGCTGACAAGTGTGATTTCAAAAATATGAGATATTTTGTGATATCATCAAATAAATATGCACATGCATTAAGATCACAACAATAAGTAGAAAAGCTTGTTAGCACATAATAATAATCAATTATCAGCAAATGCTCTGTCCTTTTTGTTTTTACATTTCGAACAGAAATTTTATTTTTCCTTCTGTTTTTTCGACGGTAAAATGGAATTCCGACAAAAAGAATTTCGCCATCTGAATTTGGACAACGTTGTCGAATTTCTACAATTGTGGAAATTCTTATGGAGTTACGATAAAATTTTGTTTTTGCTGGCTATTTTATTGTCCATTTTCCATTAGAATTTGAACAATAATTTATTTAAAAAATACATATGGAAGTATATATAACTAGTAAGGCTTTGATTGATACAACATCAAGTGATGTGTGTGCTGTGCTATAACTATTTTTTTTCAAGTAGAGATCTTTTTATTTTTTTAAATTTTGTATTTTAATCAAAATCACATCATTATTCGATATCCTTAATATTCTTTTTGGTAACGTCTGAACAAGATTTTGTGTTTCTTTTCATTATCACACTAAATCATCTTTTAATATCCTCGAATATCTTTGTTAGTGCATGAACTAAATCATCATTCTTCTCGTTATTTAATGCTAGTGAAAACCCGTGCATGCTGCACGACTGTTTTTTCTCTCTGCAAAGCTTCGCATCCATGCTTTAATTTTGACCCAGTACAAACAATCAGATACCTTGCATTATATATCAAGACCTTATAATCTTACCCTCTTGTAGCGTTACATCCTTATAGCTTTACCTCCTTGGACCCTTATACCCTTCTAGCCTTCCGGTCGCATCTTCTTATAGCTAGGGATACATTAGTGGACTTATGACAGCAGTTGACAGTGCACAGTCGTCCGCAAGGGCTATCCTACACAGATATGCATAAGTTTTCAAGGTCTATCCTATAGGGATATACACAGCTCTTTGAAGTCTATATTACCGAGGTATCCATAAACCTTCAAGGCATATGTTATTGGAGTATCCATAAGTTCTCAAAGGCTAGTCGCCATGGCTGAGTGGTGAAGTTGTTCGACACAAAATACCAAGGTATTGCGTTCGAACCTCGGCGTCACCAAACATAGAATGACCCTAGATAAGTCACTAACGGCTATTTGTCTCGGATTACCCGTACGATAGCACACTGACTACATTGTGACATATATAAGCTTTTATAGCTAGTATATGGTTAGTCAATGGGTATGGGTAGCTAAAATGAGCGGAGAAACTCTAAGTCACGCCAGCTTTCTGTCCAGAGCTACAGCTAGAAATAGTTGTAGGAAAAATATCGGGCTAATGAAAATGTCCTCGAACATCACCCTATACTGAAAGGTAGCCGAAAGGTGGGGTATTCTTCTTCTTCTTCTTCTTCTCAAAGGCTATCCTAGGAATACTCCTAAGTCCTCATGGCTAATCCTATGAGAATACGCGTAAGTCATCAAGAGCCATAATATAGATGTTTCCATTAGTGCATATGTGACAGCTACATTTCACGGTGACTTACCTGCTGACCCATTTCAAGCTCTTGAGGATTTATGAGTGTGTCCATAGCATGGGCTTTGATCACTTATGAGTCCACATTTCATAGGATAGGCCCTAAGGACTAATCCGTACTCTCATAGCATAGGCTTTGAGGACTTATGGATATCCCATATAATAGTCATTGAGGATCCATGGGTACTTCCATAGGATAGCCTTATGGTCTTTAGCCTGAATTTTGATTGGCTAAAATAATTGACCAATGGAAGAAGGACCAGACGTGACAGTCGACATTAGTATACAGATGTAATTGATAAATATGTTGTTATATTGTCAGTGAAAAGTCGACAATAAAAAAAAATTTAAATCATGCACGTTGTCAAAATTCTAATGGAAAATGGACAAGAAAATTCTCAGCAAAAAGAAATTCTGTCCTAATTCCATAAGAATTTCGACAATTGTAGAAATTCGACAACGTTGTCCAAATTCTACTAGAATTTCGACATGTTTCAAAATTCTACTAGAATTTGGACATTGTCGAAATTCAGATGGCGAAATTCCTTTTGTCGATATTCCGTAGAACCTTTTCGACTGATGCTCATTTTCGATTTGTCTTGCTGCTATTCACTTAATATCTGTTTTCTTTTTTTTAAATTATATTTTCAACGTTTATTATTATTAGTCTAATCATTGATTTAATGAACAGATAATCCTGTTGTACACATTCACTATATCTGCAGCAGATCTTAATAACATATTATGTATCTCGATGAACTCAGAAAGATTGAAATTAATTATTCCCGAAAGCTAGAATTTAATCGGTTCATCGACTCAAATCTACACTCACTATTTGTTTTTTTGAAAATATATGTGGATTTCACAAAACCAACCAAGATGGTTATATTCTTTTAGTTTTTATACAAGACGATTTACTTAATTTTGTCTTTCTATTATGATAAAGATGTCGTTAGATGCATTTTAATGAATTGTATTGACTAGGACAACAAATTATTTCAAGTGTAGAAAACAATGAAATAAAATTTTCCACCAATATAACTATCAATAAATGTGATATAAATGAAATGAATTTTGACTTTTGCTAGAACATATAAAAGTTCATGAGAGATTCCAGATTCTCCTCAAAATATGTCCTACACCAAGTTAAGTAGAATTTGAAAGCTCTTTATAAGTCTTTTGTTTTTTTAGAGAATGTAGGATTCATTTTAGATTTGGAATATCAGCAGTGTCACATATCTAGAATCTCGGGCATGCTGGAGAAGTGTAGGGAGATGCGAGAGAAGTGCATACTAGGGCGATGCAATAGAAATGTAGGGAAATGTGAGAGAAATGTGGGGAGATGTGAGAGAAGTGTAGGGAGATGTGAGAGAAGTGTGGGGAGGTGTGGGAGAAGTGTGGGGAGATGTGGGAGACGTGTGAGGAGATGTGAGAGAAATGTGGGGACATGTGGGAGAAGTGTAGAGAGATGTTGGAGAAGTGCGGGAGATGTGGGAGGGTGTGAGTGTGGGTGGGTGTGGGTATGGGTAAATGTGGGTGTGGGTGGGTGTGGATGCGGGGTGTGTGGGTGTAGATGCGGGTGTGTGGGTGTGGGTATGGGTGAGTGTGGGTGTGGGTGGGTGTGGATGCGGGGTGTGTGGGTGTAGATGCGGGTGTGTGGGTGTGACTGTGGATAGAGTAAAGAAACACTCACACCCACATCCTCGCATCTCTAGGCATTTCTCTCACATCTCCTGCATACTTCTCCCGTATCTCCCGCACTTCTTCCACATCTATCCATACTTCTCTTGCATCTCCCCACATTTTTCCTACACCTTCAGACACTTCTCTTGCATCTCTCACACTTCTCCCGCATCTCTCCGCACTTCTCCCACATCTCCTCACACTTCCCCACATCTCTCCACACTTCTCTCGCATTTTCCTACACTTCTCGCACATCTCCCCACACTTCTTTCACATCTCCCCACACTTCTTTCACATCTCTCCACACTTCTCTCACATCTCCACGCACTTTTCTCGCGTCGCCCTACACTTCTCTTGCATCTCCCTAGTATGCACTTCTCTCGCATCTCCCCACACTTCTCCAGCATGCCCGAGATTCTGGATATGTGACACCACTCACTTTTACTATTGTTGGAAATTTTACTTCGTAACTCGGGTTTTTTTTACCGTGAGCCATTTAAAGTAGCTTGCATTTCTTTTCAACATTTTGCTAGACGAAAGAAGGTTGGTGTTGTGCAATAACAAGAAATGAAAGAAAAACATTGAGGTTTTTTCCTTTTCTCTGTAGTGGGACAAACGTGTCGTCCCGCACAAATCTCATCTTCTCTTCTTACTACTTTCATTCTTCGATTTTTATAAGAAGATATTCGTTGACACGCACACATAATTGTTCATTATCGTTCATATAGATATATATGTATATAGGAAAAAAATTGATATGAGTTCGACTTCATCAAGTGCTATCGATGAAAACAATGCTGCAGGACCTGTCTATCGGATTCTACCGTATTATTATATACATGTATTAGATCAGAACACCAATATTACACGCCTCGAAAATGGTCCGAAGACTTTTATTAAGCAGGACAATGAAACGGTAACAGTCGGCCCAGAAAAAATGATCATCATTCCGTGAGTGCCTGCATGGTAAGGCGAAAAAGTAAAATATAATTTTTTTAAAATTCTTGTAGTCCACTACATTATTGCATTGTCGAATCGCCAGTGATACGCAATGAGGAGGGTGAAGTAGAATTCGACCAGAATGGTCAAGCGAAATTGGCCCATGCCGATATCGATATTCGTCTGACACGACCTGATCAAATCCCGTTTCCTCTCTATCCAGGAGAAATTCTTCGCCAAGTATAAAATTTTGAAAAAGTTGTTTACTCGTATTAACTCTTATTTATAGCCTGTCACTGCACTTACAGTCGTTCCAGCTAATTCAGCACTGCGATTAAAAGCTGTACTCGATTTTGAAGATTCACATAAGGAACAACGACGAGCTGGTGATGAGTGGATGTTCGAAGGTCCAGCTACATACATTCCTCGTAAAGAAGTCAATGTCGAACAACAAATTAAAGCAACTATTACAGTCAATGTCCCTAATAACAACACTAAAAAAATTTTCTTCCTTGTTCAACTCGGTTCTCAGCTATTTTACACTCGACTAAAAATACTTTTATATATGCATAATCTATGGAGTTTCCTCTTTCAAATGGTATAACAGCGGTCTTTCTCTGAAATGCAATGGCGGAGAAATCAGCGGTCTACGATAACGAACTGCTACTGTTGTTATTAGGGACAGTTTCCCTAATAACAACACTCAGCTATTTTTTGTCCCTAGTAACAACACTTAAGCAAAATTTAAGCCAAATCAGACTTTTTAAGAGAAAAAACTTTTTTTTACGCGTTTTCTTTGAAAAACAAGCAGAGACTCCGCTGACAACTTTGTAGAGCATGTCAAACTCTATCTAAATCTAAAGGTTCATGAGAAAAAAAATTTCCTTTAATGAGATATAAAATCTAAAAGGAACATGTCTAACAGTGTCCAAAAAATAGGTGACCCTAATAACAACACCAAGCTAATTTTTGTCCCTAATAACAACACCTCCACCGAAATTGGTGTATGAGTGTGCATAAAACAAAAACTAATTTCCATTTTAATAGCTTGATGGATTGTGATCGTTTTTCACAACTTTATTTCATTTTTCATGATAGGTCAATTTTTTGTGCCTGGGGTACCCCTCAGGTATTCGAAAAAATATTTTTGTTCTCGTTTGAGTTCTCACATTTATAAATCGATAGAACTCAGTGTTCTGATTACGAATGTTATGTTATTTTTCAAAATTCATCGAGTAATAAGAAAAATCTAGACCATTCAAGACAGGCATAAAAATCAGTTTTTGGCTTATAAGACCATTATTATCCGTCTAAAACACGTTGGAAATAAGCTCATTCGACGCAGAAGTTTTTTCTCTATCAGAATGTATATAAGGCTTTAGGAAACAATTATGTTTTTCAATCAATAATTATCGAATACCGGGTCCAATGGGTCTCTATGGTCATTTACTATGATTTTTTCCAGCTTGTGGGAATATAGTTTACTCAGGCACATCATCGAGATTTTTTTACCACAAACATAATTCAATGAGCTCTTTCTCGTAAAACTATTTTCGACTTAAAATTTAAGAATAAAAAAAAGGTCAAAAAAACACTGTTGGGGACTATAGAGCACCATTGGGCTCGGTATTCAATAATTATCGATTGAAAAACATAATTGTTTCCTAAAGCCTTATATACATTCTGATAGAGAAAAAACTTCTGCGTCGAATGAGCTTATTTCCAACGTGTTTTAGACGGATAATAATGGTCTTATAAGCCAAAAACTGATTTTTATGCCTGTCTTGAATGGTCTAGATTTTTCTTATTACTCGATGAATTTTGAAAAATAACATAACATTCGTAATCAGAACACTGAGTTCTATCGATTTATAAATGTGAGAACTCAAACGAGAACAAAAATATTTTTTCGAATACCTGAGGGGTACCCCAGGCACAAAAAATTGACCTATCATGAAAAATGAAATAAAGTTGTGAAAAACGATCACAATCCATCAAGCTATTAAAATGGAAATTAGTTTTTGTTTTATGCACACTCATACACCAATTTCGGTGGAGGTGTTGTTATTAGGGACAAAAATTAGCTTGGTGTTGTTATTAGGGTCACCTATTTTTTGGACACTGTTAGACATGTTCCTTTTAGATTTTGTATCTCATTAAAGGAAATTTTTTTTCTCATGAACCTTTAGATTTAGATAGAGTTTGACATGCTCTACAAAGTTGTCAGCGGAGTCTCTGCTTGTTTCTCAAAGAAAACGCGTGAAAAAAAGTTTTTTCTCTTAAAAAGTCTGATTTGGCTTAAATTTTGCTTAAGTGTTGTTACTAGGGACAAAAAATAGCTGAGTGTTGTTATTAGGGAAACTGTCCCTAATAACAACAGTAGCAGTTCGTTATCGTAGACCGCTGATTTCTCCGCCATTGCATTTCAGAGAAAGACCGCTGTTATACCATTTGAAAGAGGAAACTCCATAGATTATGCATATATAAAAGTATTTTCAGTCGAGTGTAAAATAGCTGAGAACCGAGTTGAACAAGGAAGAAAATTTTTTTAGTGTTATTATTAGGGACATTGACTGTATTGGTCCTAATCAAGCTATTCGACTTTGCGCCGAAAAAGAACTTATTGATCGATCAGGTCAACATCGTGTCACTGGCGAAGAGTGGTTAGTCAAAAAGACCGGTGCTTATTTGCCACTAGCCTATGTAAATTCTCTAGTATTTTGTTTTCCTCATTACCTATCTATTTCGATTGTTTAGGAAACGATTGTATTAGTTCAAGATGCCTATGCTTTAACTGAGAAGAAAGCTCTTCATCTTCGAGCCCTTAAAACTTTCATTGACGATTTTGGTAAAAAACGTTTGAGTGGAGAAGAATGGCTTGCAACGCATATTGATACGGAAACACACATCCTCAGTATATATGAAGAACTTGTTGCCGTTGTCGATGCAATCACACTCAATTCACGACAGTATTGTGTTATTCTCGATCCCGTTATCGATAGTAAACCACAACTTGGAAGAAAGGTCGATATTTTATTAAGAGATAAATATAAGAAACTATGATTTAATTATTTTATTTAGAAAATGATCTTTGGTGAAATATCATTCTTTCTCCAACCGGGCGAAAAACTCTTGACAGGCATTCAAAATATTTTTATTTTGGATGAAGACGAAGGTGTTATTGTCAAATGTAATGAAACATTCGAAGATGAACAAGCAAAGAAAATACGTACTCCGGGTGATCTATGGATGATTCGAGGACCAACGTAAGTTACTTTTTCTTTATTAAATAACATTTTGAATATGTAGCTATTTTATTTGAATTCTTAGTGAATATATTCCACCTACTCAAGTAGAAGTTGTCACTCGACGAAAGGCAATTCCATTAGATGAAAATGAAGGCATCTATATTCGTAATATCAAAAGTGGTCGTGTTCGAGCAGTCATCGGTGAAACTTACATGTTAACACAAGATGAAGAACTTTGGAATAAAGAATTATCCGAACAAATCGAATATTTGCTTACGCGTGATCCATTAACCGAACGCTATTCTCTTATGCGTGAATCGGCTTCAGCCAAAAATGCATCGACAGCTACTGCCTTTAATAGTCAATCAAACAGTTCGAAATCAATTACTACCAAACGTGACAAATGGAAATTGATCACATATCGTGTTCCACATAATGCAGCCGTTCAAATCTATGATTACAAACTAAAGAAAGCTCGCATTGTCTTCGGTCCAGAACTTGTCATGCTTGAACCTGATGAACATTTTAGTCTGATTTCTCTAAGTGGTGGCATACCCAAATGTCCTAATCAAGTTAACTCCCTTTGTTTACTACTCGGTCCAAATTTCTTTACTGATATCATCGTCATTGAGACGGCCGATCATGCTCGTCTTTCCCTTCAACTTGCTTATAGTAAGTCAAAAACACAGCAAAAACATTCAAAAATATACGTGATTGATTATTCTTTATTTTCCAGACTGGCACTTTGAAGTGAAAGACATAAATGATAAGAGAGAAGCGGCTAAACTCTTTTCAGTGCCTGATTTTGTCGGGGATACATGCAAAGCTATTGCTTCACGTATTCGTGGTGCTGTAGCTGGTACTCAATTTGATGATTTCCATAGGAACTCCGCTCACATCATTCGTGAATCTGTATTCGGTCTTGATGCAAATCAGTGTGTACGTGATCAAATTGTCTTTCCACAAAATAATCTTGTCATTACATCGATCGACATTCAAAGTGTTGAACCTGTCGATCAACGTACGCGTGATGCGCTACACAAGAGTGTGCAACTGGCCATTGAGGTATGATATTGAATTGTTCGTCTCAATCGAAATGCAAGCAACACTTTCTATTTTAGATAACGACGAATTCACAAGAAGCTGCTGCTAAACATGAAGCTTCACGTCGCGAACAAGAAGCTAGAGGTTTTTTAGAACGACAACGTATCAAAAATGAAGCTGAAGCCGAACAGATTCGACAACTACTACTCGAATCACAAGCTCTATCGGCGGCAATCGAATTAACTGGTCAAACCAAAGCAGAAGCTATAAGTCGTGCTGAATCGAAGCGTATTGAAGGCGAAACAGCCGTTTACCAAGGTATATACTTTGTTACATTTAAATAATGAATACCTGAGCTTTTTTTTCTTGGTCCATTGCAGCGCGTCGTAAAGCTGAAGCAACCAAAATCGAAGCTGAAGCTGAATTGGCCCGTTTAAAATTAGTACGTGAAGCTGAAATCAAGTTTTTACGCGAACAAAACGAACTAGAAATTAAGAAAAAAGCCGAGTTGTCTCGAATTGAAACTGAAAAATTCAAATTACAAGTCGAATCAATCGGTACTTCGACTATTCAAAGTATTGCTACATCAGGTCCCGAAACTCAAGTCAAACTTTTGCAAGCACTCGGAATACAATCGATGCTCGTCACCGATGGCAAAAATCCGATCAATCTCATGGACTTTGGACAAGGTCTACTCGGGAGTTTAACAGCTCGTCATGTAATCAACTAATAGTAAACAATTGCTGCCACTAGTTGCCATATTTCAAGAACGTGCATAAACAGACTATATACTGTTTTACTGGCTTCGTAGAAAAAAATTGCTTCTGATATGTCATATTGGTTTTCCAAGTTGTGTTACCTATGTTGCTCGATCGTTGTCTTGTCCTTTTGTAGATTGTTTGAATATTTCAGAAAGAATAAAAATCATGAACTATATTTTAAATGAACTACTCGTTATGAAGATGGAGATTGCCTGTATTGTTCACTTAACGATTGATTAGCTCTTTGGGAACGGGTGACCCTACATGGGGTCACAGTATTTGTTTAGTATTTTAAAATACATAGATTCCTATGTAATATCAGTTTTCATGAAAGCATTTATCAGAGACTTTTCTGATATAATTCAGGTTATAATTAGATTATTTTTTCTGATAATCAATAATGGATGATAAATGTAACACAGTTGATTTTTAGAAAAAATTCTGCTAAAGTCTAAAATCTTTGCAAGAAGTATTTCAAGTTTTTTCAGCAATTGTTTAAAATTAATTTGAATTGAAACAGATATTGAAACGAATTATTTTTGTTTAGTTATCTAACAGTTGTGTGTGAGTGTAGATGATGAGAAGACCGACACTGACAACTATACCTATACCTGCGCACATCCACACCCTTCATAAAACCTATTACATCTATCAACGACGTATTTGAAAATTTTTTTTTAAGCTCCTTTAACAGAGGCGTATACGTAAGTAGCTCGAAATTTGACGGTTTGATTTTGCCAGATAACTTATATTATTCTGAAACATGATTTGAAACTTCGATGTCTAAAGAAGAAACTATCATAAACTCGAAAACTATTATGGTTTTCTATTACTCATCGAAAGCTACTCATTAACAAAAGCTTCGCTTACAAAGTAACCATCACATGACAAACTGTCTTTGTCAGAAAAAACAAGATTCGACAAAGATGTCATGATGTTAAATACACAAAACAGTAGAGTAGATATTTATTTATTGGCTGACTGCTTTCATTTGGCTACTGTTCGTGCAGTACTGGTCTTCGTATGACTCTCGATTAATCAACCAGTCTGCTAGAGTTCTGTATAGAGTGAGTATAGTGTATGTTCTTTAGGTGCTGTACTGTTTTCGATGTCAGCCCATTTCACGTGCTTATCGAATTCTGCAGTTTGAATCCTTGATAGACTATTGACATTGGCTTTGAAAAACGCGGTTCGTCGGTCAGCCTCTACATCACCAGCATCCTGTTTTTTAGTCTGCTTGTCGCTCGATTGAAAAATCTATAACAAAAGACAGAAGAAAAGAATTTATTTCATTCTAACGTCTAAAAATAGTTTCTTCTTTTTTTAACATGATAATATCAAATTGTATCAATTCATCGGTTTATTTTCGTTTAAATAGATGCCGAATGATCAACATAGAATATCGAAATGCTTTCCTTCATGTCAAGTTCATTGTTCCGATTAGGGTAGATCCTTACATTTTTGAACGTGTATATAAATTTTGTACAAATACACGAACTGTCATTCAAAAATGCTCTAGCAAGCGAGAGATCTATATACATATATACTTTTTTGCTTAATGAAATACATATGAAGGTGTAGAACTTTAAATTTCATATTCTCAAAATTTCACATTCGATTTAAGTATACAAAAGTGAACAACTAAATAATTTTGAAGTAACTACATTGACTAGTTCGGATCACGATCAGAGTAGGCCTAAAAATGAATATCTACAGCGCAGAAAATATCAATTTGTTTTTCTTATAATAATTCCATAGGTCTTTGAAAATCTGTCGCTCAACCCAATGTATGAAAGTTTTATATCATGAGCGTCAGATGACCTAAACAATTGGGTAAAAATGGTATTATCCAGGTAACCCTCGCTGATACTGTTATCATTTCATCGTCTTAATCACATTACATCTTGTCTTCTATTTGGTGCGATCATCTTCTGATAATCTTTTTATTCTACATATGGCATAATCATCGTTATATAAAGTATTGTTCCAGATATAGCATGATTCTATAAGTTTATATTCTAACACATATGAAATACATACATTTTCCTTATCTTTTTCGCTCTTCCTTTTTTCTCTTCCTATTATTATTGTTCTTGGTCCTATACATTTTGATTCTGTTTCTTAATAAACTATATAATCAGTGCTAACAAATGCTAAGAGTCACTAGTAAAATTTATGAGAATAAACAAACAATACCGTAAATGAGCACATCAAATTTTGATCGATTGACATCATTGCACCTGCATTATCAAATTCACCACAGTAGTTCGGTGCTGAGAAGATAGTGACAAGTTGACGATTACCAAAAAACTCGTAGCCGTTCTCCACTACCTTTAAAGAAAAAGAATATTCTATAAAATGATCTCTTTGCATGATAAACTATGATAGTAGAGGAATACTGAAAACGGTAAAGATTTTCAAACTATAATACGTATATGACTTCTTACTTGATGTGCTCGACAGATCAAATCCATGTTGTATCGATTCAAAAACTGAAATGATAGTATTTAGTAGAAAAAAAGTTTCAACCAAAGACTTACTTGATTCACCACATTAACACCGAATCTGCTTGAAACACCGGCGTCATTTTCGGCCCAGTCTTTCGCCTCATTGTCTGGGTCAGCCCAAAGTAAATCACAGAGAAGGCCTATCAAATGTAATCTTATTCAAAGAAACATAAGAATAATTTGTTCTAATCCTATTATGTCATTATTTTATTGGCTTCACTATTCAACAAGATAGATAATTTAAAGAAATAGAAATAATTTTGTAACATATGGGTATTTGGAGACATTTTTAGAAGACATTCTAATCAATGAATAACAAAATATTTTGTCGAAAAATCGAAAGTATTATACACACAAGTTTAATTAACAACAATAATGTTCAATATTTTGGTGAGAACTATCTAGATTATTAAAAATCACAGAAAAATTAAGGTCAGAATAGAATCAGAAAATACGAATAAAAGCATTCATTCACATTTCCTTGAGAATCTTAAAACCTTAGGCTTTGCATTCTTAATTGCCATCGTAGGCTGAACGAAATGTACAACTCTTATTTTTTTTCTTAATATGAACAATAAGCTATTATTGCTTTTCTCTTTTGTTGATACTTCAATTTCGAAGTGTTCAACGTTATTACTCATAGTCAATGTAGTCGGCTTCAAATAATCATACATCTTTGATTAAGATCTTGATTTGATATTTAGTATGTAATGTATTTTGTCAAAAATATTCTCTACTAGTCATTATTCTTATTTACTAGTTTTTGGTCTTTATGACAATTAATAACACTTACCACTATCAGGTACGTCAATGGGCCGCTGAATCCGCCTAATTTGATCGAAATTCAGCAATTCAGGTGAGAGACCTTTAAATAATCAAGAACTTTCGAGATGTTTTGATGTAATGAAAATCAGATATCACCTCCATGACAACAAAAGATTTTTCTATCGATAATAGCAGCTACTGGAAGACAATTGAAACACTTGAATGAAAAATAGACAAATATTTTTTCAAGCAGAAGAGAAATAGTAATCTCACCTCATTGAATGATTTCCATAATTTGATAGAGTATCGTCGTTTGCCTGTAATCAGTAACAAAAATAGATGACGAAAAATTTTTGTCACTCATAGTGAGAGAAAAAAAATGTAGGCGAGGAAATCTTTAAATCCAAATGCATCCATTTTCTTCGCTATACTGAACAATTCTTCGGAACAATCAGTATCTTGAAAAGAATGAAATGCATTTCGACTGTTTTTCGTTTTTAGTATACGATCATTTTTATAAAATTTGAATTTAAATATTTCGTCTCTATTTACTTCAAAAAACAATAAATGCCAATCATTAGAGTAGACTTCAAGATAAAGTCAGAAGTGGAAAATATTACATTTGAGTCATAAACTGAAGCCACTTGATGGAAAACTGACTCATTTCGAATTATAGCATCGCTATAAGGTATAGAGAAAATACTCACATTCGTCGTAAAATCCATAGATGCGGTTGATTGAAGAACACTCATGATTTCCACGTAGTAAAAAAAAGTTGTCAGGATATTTTATCTAAACAAAGGAAAAAAATGTTTATCATAGATAGATAGTCTAAAGAGCAAGTCGCTTGACTTTGTAGGCAAGCAAAAGACATATTGTTTCCAATGATTGTTTGCCTCGATCTACATAGTCGCCCAGAAACAAGTAGTTGGATTTGGGTGGAAAACCGCCAATATCGAAAAGTTGAAGCAGATCAGTATATTGACCGTGAATGTCGCCTGTTAGATAAAATGTACGAGTTTGATCAACCAATCGAGACATTTTAGTCAGAGACTTATACAGATCTCGATGGCTTTTAGAAATAAATAATACTCGAGAAGACTGACCAATCATTGAATATTTCAGATCTTCTTTCTATATCAATTTCACAAAAACCTAGTGATTTACTTTTTTTAACTACTTGAATACATGATGGGCATACGAATAGTTATGATTCGAAATACAGTGATCCACACAAACCTGCTATTTAGAGTCACAAGCATTAAGTCACCTTTTAGTCGTAGTTGGAACCAATGACACAAGTACTTGTCAAGCATTTTACACAATATAATTCGACTGCAGGAAAACTACTCATATAATCGATATTACATGCGAAGGAACTTATATAAGAATGATCTATAGTGCAATGATCCAAAGTACATCGGAATCATTTCACCAAGATCCTACTAATTGAACTGCCCTTATCTTGTTCTGAAGATCTCACTAGAAATATAGCATTACAGAAATATGATAACCTTAAAATATTTTCTCAGTGGTTATAGACATTGTCCTGGCATAAACATACTTTTTGGTCAAAAAAAAATTTATTCATTGCATGTTCCGCCTGGAATCTGTGATATATTTGTACGACTCCAATTGCCAGGCTCCATCCGAAACAGATCTCATTGGGAAGAGAAGTCAACAAACGATTTCCATATATTGTTTGAATTGCACCTTGGTAGCTTCTTTTAGAGAACGTATGTCAAAGTGTCGAAATCTCCATACTTTTGAGAAGATACAAAATAACATGTTTTGATCGAAGTATGTTGGATCAAAGATACTCATTAAATTAACGATAGAAAATTAAATTTTACCATTGACAAGCGTGCACTAAAAAAGAGGCTCAAAGCTTCTAGAGTGAATCGATTCCTCGAGACAAGAAACTCAGGTCTGCATCTAAATATCAATATTAATTCAATTTAGAGTGGACATTGTTGTGGCTGCTTGCGAGCATGTGCCTGATTTTGAAGAGAAAATCCAATCTCAATTTCACCTCCATTCACTCTCACACACCGATACTCACATTGGAGAAAGTATATCTTTATTCAGCATATCACGTGTAAGCTGGAATTAGACGGATGACATCATACTATTTCTGACAGCTCTATTGTTGAGAATGAAATATTCATTGAACAACTTCTGCAAAAAGCACATCTCATTAAGTCTCACTGGCAAAATTAAATCCTATGGAAGCTCATTTCTTAATAGTTCGAAGTTTGATTATCAACTATACCACAGATATGAAGTGGAGCTTCAAGTTCGAGTAGCATGGGTTGTCTAAGGAAGATCTCTTTTGATTTGGCACATAAAATCTTCATTGCTTCTTCTGACGTATTGGCCATCTGACCTGATGAATAACATCCACGCACTTCGAAGAAGAAAAATTATTATCGAATATCGGCGAAGAGCAGACAAATATACAGACTTTCAAGAAGCCGCTCAATTAGACTGTCAATGTTCAACTGAGAATCATCACCATTGTTTGCCATAATGTATTGTTTGTGTCTGTCAGGAGACGAAATTTTGATAATCTCTGAATTTCTAATGTGTATCTTAAATTAAACATAGTTCGTACTATATGTTCATGAAGAAGCATAAATAGAAACAGAACTCATTGATATAAATTTCCTTTTAAAAAATATAAACATGCTACCTTTTGTTCAATTCGAGAAGTTTTTGTTAGAAACAAGTAGAAAAATAAAAGCTCCGTATGACTCTGTTCAAAAAGTTTTTTAATCGGATACAGGAAGGATTACATGTAAGATAAGAAGTCAATAAAACACCATGCATTGTATACAAATAGAATGCATCACTTATTTGCAGTTCAGTACCACAAAAATGATATAGTCATCATCAATCTAGTTCTCTCATTATCAGTTTTACCTCTTACGCCATTGTCAATGTAAATACTCTCATCGTTTTCTCAGAATTGTGAATATTCTACAATCAAATTATTAATGTATAGCTGCTTCCGACCTGTCCTACCAATACAAATGATAGAAATTGTAACTAAATAAGCAACTGTACTTAAAAATGATAATAGATTGGTTAGAGATGCTGGAGGTTACTGATAGTAAGAATTTCTTGTTTTCCATAGAACCATCAACGGATGCAACTGTTCGTCCAATATAAACAATTGATCGATTTATCATTTTTCGTACTAAATCCATCAATTGAAGTATTGGAGACACAGTCGTCAAAAATTCCATAAGATATATATGACGAATACTTTAAATATAAGTTTACTGTTCCATGTTTTTGCTTCTGCGAGCATACAGAGTAGTGTAGATGAGCTTAGTTTTTCATATGAACTTCGAAACGTAATATAGAGTCGATGGCACTAATGATTTTCTATTTTCGTTTCAAAATTCATTAATTTTATTCGTGCTCTTCGCAAGTTTTTGTGCATGCATGAATCTGCACCGAGAAAAACAGAAAACCTTAGCTTATATCTATATTCCATTTTTCTTCTTTCAAATCGAAAAAAAGAGTTTAGAATGAAAGACAAAGACTCACATAAATTATTGCTGCACATACATGCTTACTATTCAAAAACAACAGTGATGCTGACAATAACAAATGAAAACACTATAGAAGCTGACTGGAAAAATGAGCAAGAAGAAACTGGAGGAGAACAGAAAAAGTAATTGCAGGCAAATGATTGGATGAACCGAAAGAGGTCAGCAAAGTATAGCATTAAACAAGGTATAAATCCAAAATAGTAGTTATTTCGACTACTCTGCTTTTGCTTTTCGCACTTATCATGGGAAAACACTGCATGCATGAGCTTCGAACCCTTGTTGGCATGCTAAAGAAAAGCGTTAATCTTATGAAACTTGTGAGCTTTTGTGAACGTGTTCTACGTCCTATGACCTACCACAAGAATCCACAAACTTAATTAGGATTCGATAGTTACTTTTATAGGTTATGTATCAAATTTCTAGAAGACCTCGTTGTCGTAAAAATTTCCTGATATATTTCTCCATTGCTCAACGGAATCACTATCAGATATTTATTCTTCATCAGTATGTGACTAAAGGAAGAAAGCAGCGGATCTCACCTCGTCAAAATTTCAAAGATTTTTCAAAGTCTTGAAGAGATTTTCGCAAACCAGTGATGTCTCTTTTGTTTCTCCTAGGATAATTACAAACGATTTATCCTTCAAATCTGATTTCACTTTATCTATACAAGTAAAATATTTTTTCGATTAATTAGTTTTGAATTAAACTAAATTAATTCATGTATTTATTTTCTAATCAGAAATATTTTCATCATCATTGTAAAAATGATTTATTTCCTTTTTTTTTTATCTCTGACAAAATCTTCAGTTTTTAAATGATTTTCATATTTATCTTGTCGAACAAACATTTTCTCGTTTCATTTTCTATTTGCATAATAATAATTATTTTTTTAAAACTATTCAAACAAATTTTCATCAAGATTTCTTTATTTGAAGAATCATTGTTAAAGTATATCTATCGTTATGTCGTTTCTTTGTTTTTAAAGAATTTGTTAATGATATATAATGCAAATAATCACAATTGTGAATAGTATTTTATTCTACAGAATATTTGATAAAGATAAAAGTACGATCATATGATGACAAATCAATTGTTATAATTATTTTATGCAAATTCAGATGGTGAGACACACTAAGCTTTTTTTGTTTGTAATTATCAGAGCTATTCTAATATACAAGAAGCTAGTCTCGACATCGTCTTAGTCATAGAGAACTTTTGTTTTGCATTATTGATGATTATTTCATCGATTTTGTTTCAAATAAAATCAATTCTAAATTTCAGTCTAAGATATAAAATCTGTGCTACTGTCTAAAAGATCATTGGATTAGTTAAAAAAAAACCAATATTCTCTATTCACTGTCAATATCATAGATGTAATTATTTTAATACTTCTCACATTCATTATGTGCTTACAGATAAATTCGTGCTAACAACTTTTTTTCCATTTTTTTGTTATTATTCTGTTCATAGAACACAGTCTGTTTAAATGTTGTGTAATCCTCTTTTTAATGATAAAGAGAAGAAACGAATTAATTGTCTATTAAGTCATTTAATCCTCCGACAATGCCGGATTCATATCGATGATTTATCAATAAGTTATTTAATAATAGTGTTCCAAATTATTGTGAACTGAGTCCGATCTTGAGTTATGGAAGTTAATCATTGGTATCGTTGGAGATAGTTCTTCAGTCGATTACATCAAAGTAGTGAAAGAACGTTGTTATTATGCAAATGAATATGATTTGACACAAGATCTATTAGCATCTGTTTATCTTTATAGAATGAAATGGAATGATGATATTTTTTACCGAGTACTTAGTACTGCTCTTCATACAAAAAGATCAGAATACACTCAAACATTGATTAGCTGTTACCAAGCTCTTTAATATGTTCTGGAAACGACTGCCTCACTTCAAACAAAACATTCGGTCTAGACGAAAAATGCAAGAAAGGATATGTGACGTTTTATTCTCAGTTCGATTTAGTACAATTTGATAAAGGAAAGGAGAATGATGAGAGCAATGACGTTACTTTTTTTTTCTTTTACTATGCCTCGTCATCTAGGTATGTCCTTCGATCGCTCTTTCTTCCTTTCTCACTTCTGATTTGTTTTTTTGCTCACTCATGATTACATATGTATATATCATTCTTATTTAAATAAGGACCTTCTCACATAAAAAATTAAACAAAATGTCTTCGAAACAAATTAATATTTTCTTGACTGGTGTAACGGGTTATATTGGAGGCTCCATACTGACTGGCCTCCTTCACCATCCAAATGTTTCAAACTTCAAAATAACTGCTCTGATTCGTGGTGATGAAAGTAGAGTGAAAAAGATTGCATCGCTCGGTGTTACTACTCTCATTGGTACAAATGATTCACATGATATTATCGAGAAAGCAGCAAGTGAATCGCATGTCGTTATTCATACGTCCAATTCGGCTGATGATATTCCGTCAACCAGATCGATTATTAGTGGTTTGAATAAACGAACTGAGACGACAGGAAAACCAGCTATTTATATTCATACTAGTGGTACTGCTGTTATTTCTGAAGATGTTCGTGGTAAGAAAGGCTCGAATACAGTCTACAGCGATCTTGATCCTGACAAGATCAATAGTGTATCCGACGAACAAGCACATCGAAATGTCGATCTCTTAATAATCAACGCAGCACAAGCCAATCCTCTATTGAAGAGTGTCATCGTTATTCCTCCAGCCATCCATGGCATTGGTACAGGTCTGTTTCATCGCTATTCTGAAACACTTGCAGCATTAATTCGCGCTGCCTTAAAACGTGACAAGGTAGAAATGATTGGGCCAGGTGAATCGAAGTGGAGCTACAGTCATATCGACGATTCAGTTGATGCTTACATTATTCTTCTTGATCAACTTCTTGCTGTCTATGGACCTAATGCCAAACCTGATGCGAAGCCCAGTTCATATCTAACTACAGGACGTGAAGGCTACTATTTCACTGAAAATGGACAAGTTTCAGGACAAGAAGTGTCCGAAAAAATTGGTGAAACTCTTTACAAGAAAGGTGTTCTCAAATCACCTGAAGTTACGAGCTTTCCCGACGATGAAATAGAAAGTGCTTTATTTGGTCCTTTCAGTTGGGTTTTGGGATGTCAGTCGAATTCCAAAGCCGAGAGATTGGCCAAATTAGGATGGAAACCTCATCGACCCAATATGCTCGACTGTGTTGAAGAACAAGTGGATGCTTTGCTCAATGATGCAAAGAATGGAGACTCTTGGAATAGGCGTCTTTTCGGACAAGATATCTCATAAACTTTTTTTTGCTCATCTTCTATAGTTCATTTGTTTTTATTTTCATTTTGTCTACTTTTCTTATTCATATTTCAATAAAATCGTTAACATCAAATAAAAAAAATCAGTATTTAGTCATCCACATAAAGAAAAAAGGTCTCAATTTGCTAAAAAAAAATTTATCTTTCAAGTTCCAAGTATTCTTCAATTGAATTCAAGTATCAAATTGGACATATATGATATTTAGATTCAAATACTAGTTTTATCCATGTGAAATGACCTACTCTACTCAATAGACAATGAGAACAAGAGGAAAAATTAAAAGCCGAACAAAAAAATCAGAAATTTCGTTTGTTACCTTATATTCGACTGCTGCAGCAACGATGCAAAGATAGTTGATGTATTTTCGACGTACAAGATCCTCCAATTTGGCTCCAAAACTGACTATTCGTGTAGGAATGGTGTGGATGTTAGTGCAACAACAAGCATTATATCAACACCTACTTCCCCACAACGGCACCCGCACCCTAGTTTTAACCTAGGAACTCCGATTTTTGATTATTTTTTCTGGCTCTTCACATCGACAAATGGTGAATGTAGTACTAGCTCTGTCTTTGATACATTTCCATGTATGACACCAATTCATACTCATCGGTGTAAGCCGAAACACTGATAAATTAAATTAAAATCGATTAAAATCAGATTTTTTTTGTCAGATTTTTTACATGGGTAATTAGAGTGAAAGCGTTGAATGCATTTACTGTCTGACGGCTCACTAACTGACGAAGAACAAGGGATGCAGAGAGTACTGCTTGGGTTGAAATTTTTGGGCGACTGATTCTTTTTTCTCTGTCACTACTTATGTTGCTGGAAGATCATGCTTATTTATCTTTGCGTGTGTTTGAGATGAAAAAAATGAAAAGAATGGCTAACAGTTGATTGTGTCTAAAAGAAAATTTTTTTCGTTCTTCATTTCTTTCAATTTGAAGTATTTCATTTGTATAAAGTAAAATTGAATATGACATCGAAGTTTGATTTCTTAGATGACAGATGAAGGTGAGAATATACAATGTTGAATTGTGATAATTTTGACATGCGAAACCTTACTTCATATATTCGGATTGTATAGGATATTAGATGTGTAAAACATTTCTTGTTTTGAATAGCATGATTGCAAAATAAATAAGAGAAAATGGTCTGCATGTTGTAAGCTGCATAGCTTCCCTTCGTGAAAGAGAGTGGATGAAATTACTACTTGTTTGCATGTATATGTTGTCCCGAAACCATATCAAATAACTGATTCATATGCAATAAGTTATTCTCGCGGTGAAAGCTTGCGTGTGTGCAAGATTCTACGTAGATCGGTAAGTGTTTGTACAGAACAAAAGATCATTGTTGTGCCAACGAATAAGTGCAAATCAAGCGAAACAGTATTATGAACATATTCATATAAACCGTCAAGAACATAACATATACAATGTACCTTAATTGAATTTCTCCATTTTATATTTCTTACTGTAAACTATTATAGTTTGCTTTTTTTTTTGAATAATGGGCACACGACGAAAAAGTACAGACATCACTACATCGCATGATACATTAATCATAAATAACCAATAAAAATCAAACAATACAGTATATCAGAAAAAAATAGGATATTTTTTCCATTACAATATATATTTCATCCGGATTATATAAAAATAAAATACTTATTTAAATAGAGAGTTGATCACAATATACATCAGATTCATATATAATGGCATATTTATGGTATGTACTGCTGATTTGCTATCTCGATAATGGATACAAAGTTGATGGGTGTAGTAACGGAAGATTTATTGTTGTGATTGGATAATGATTTCGAACGACTTCCTTACGAAAATCCCAAATTGGATTGTCTAAAGAGAGAAGATAAATATAGGATAGAGAACAAATTTTATATTTGATTGAACCTCGATTCACAACGTAACAAAATATGTACCAATTTCAAGCTGGATTTTTCTTTCGGAATATCTCTATTAATGATATACCATTGCTATGTTTTGTATTAGGCAGATTGACAGATTTATAATAATGAACTTTTGAATATCTAAAAAATAATTGAACTTATGTCTGTCAATAAGTACAAAAACAAGAGAAAGATAAAAATCTGATTTACTCTTACTGCAAATTGTAGTAAAAAAAAACCATCTTTTTTTCTGATATACTTTTTATTGTTTGATTTTTATTGATTATTTATCATTAATATATCATGCGATGCAGTGATGTCTATACTTTCTTCCTATATGCTCATTACCAGGAAAAAAAAGTAAACTATAATAGTCTACAGTAAGAAATACAAAATGAAGAAATTCAATTGAGGTACACTGTAAATAATGAATACTAATAATCTATAGAAATAAATTTGAAAAATATAGATCTGTGCAATATTTACCCAGTGACATAAGACGTGGCTAGTAACAAGGAACAGGACGAGAAGGTTTGAATATATACTAATCAAGCTCGACATCGTCTAGATACAGGTGCGAAGAAAACTTTTTGCTGATCACTAAAACTTTACTCATACAATGATGTTTCTACTTATCTGAAGTTGAGTACAACCTCTAAACTAATCCTAAATACTGATCTAGTCATAGATAGAAGCAGACTATTCTTTGGAGTACAGCTGTTTTCATTAACTATAATGATACTTAGTCCGAAACGGTGTCAAAATGTAACACAACTTTACTTCTGTTATGTATGGGAACGAAATATTATTTTCAGTTGTTTCTCGATCTATGTTACAGTTAGGTACCACAAAACTGTTCATTTTTACAACCAACTATAGTTGTGATTTGTCAATAAAATATGTGGTAGTTAGTCGGCTGTCTTCACTTCTGGATTCTTGTGATGAACCTATTCTTATTTTCTTTAGAAAGAATTTATATTCATGAATTGATAGAACTATATTTAAGTATAATATTCACACAATTTTGATGAATTAAATGTAACTTTAGGAAAGTCTATTCGAATGTGGCGGTTAAAGTCAAAATACGTGTACAATTGTATCATCTGCGAGATTATTGTCGTTACTACCATATTTTCAAATTATTACTTCTGCAAGACTTCATCGATACTGCCAAGGCTGAAAAAACATGATCCAACACTCGTAGCGTATATTATTACAGTTCCTGGTTATGATCAACGAGTAGCAAGTGTTGTGGATCTTTTTAAAAAATACGCTCATATGAATCTTCGACGTTTCGAGGGCATTCGATTTTCTCATCAACTTCATGTAAAAAACAACTCTCTGACACTCGGAGAACAGAGTCTACGAGCGACAATGATAATGTTCTACAGCATGATGGTTCGTGAAAATCATGAAAAAGTATTCGTGTTTGAAGATGATGCGATTCCACATCGTAATTTCAAAGCACTGCTCAGGGAATTGCCTCATCGTTGTGTTGAAGCCGATGTTCTATTATTAGGAGCCACTATATGGCATACAAAGCATACAGATTGGCCCAGTGGAGCGTGCTTCGATGCTAGCCGTGCAACATTTGGTGCATTTGCTCTCTTGCTTAAAAGAGTATCCTACCGTCCTATTCTTCAATGGTTACAAGCTAATACGTCGGAACCGTATGATCATGTTTATCGTCACTTACAACAAAAGAAACTCTCTGTTCGAGTAGCATTTCCTCCTTTTCTAGTTATTCCAGATATTTCGCATCCATCTTTAATCAATAATAATCGAACTGCTATCCAATTCGATGTTATCAAACGAGCTGAAGTGCATCTTTGGCACTTGAAAGATTATCCAATGGTTCAAATACCGACTCAGATTATGAAGACCAATGTATCGAAGAGGCCAGACTTTCCAGGAAGATAGTGAATACACACACGTAAGCTAATTTAAAAAGATAATCCACAATCAGCTGTACCATTCAGAAAGGATTCAAGAACAACATGCTATGGTCAGACTAATTAAATTATCAAATAAAGTCTTTTGTTTCCTTTCAATTGCACTTATGATTCTGATTTCTTCAATCTGATACTCAATGTAGTGTATACTGGTGGTCAGGATGTGGATCAGTCTAGATGGATGTACGAGAGGCAGGGTTGAATCCGAAAATGGTAAACGATCGGCTCGGTTCAATCCAGTAGAAAATTCCTTACCAATCGCTAGACACAACTTTTCTCTATCGACTAGTATGAGTCTTTGGAGTTTTTTGCATGTTTTGTTCTTTAAATAGTACATAAGAGTGTCTTTTTCGTAAATGAAACGCTTTTAATGATGTCAAGGACTATTTCTATGAGAAAAAATGCAATAAACTATTCTATTCAGATAAAATTTATAATAACTTGCTTATCACATTTTATCAATCTACTTTTATATCAAAACAATTGAATGATAGTTTAGTATTGAAGTTTATCATATATTTACTTATGTTTTTCCTAGTGCTTATGGATATATTTTGCACAGACACAAGAGATAGCAAAGCGAATAAAATCTGGGAAGTAAATTAAATATACAACTATGTTCGTGGAACTAATTTGAATTATGCATATTTTGATATAGGAACAAAAAAAAATTCATTTATGCAGTCGTTCGAATATGAATCCATTTTCTTTCAAAATAATTTGCATGAACTTTATCATTTGAACTATACGCGATTTATCAATAATTTTTCATATAAATAAAAATGCTAGTGTGTGTTGATTGAATGAGGACTTGATATCATGATGGTTATCAAAGACACAACATTGAACACGATATGACTTATTGTTCTCATACCATTTTTAACAAAACCGCTGAAATCACATCTGATTTCGACTGGTTTTGTTAATTTTATTAGTGTCTTATTCGTTGTTATGTAATTCCTAAATATCATGAAGATCAATATAAACTGTGAAACTGTATATCATCATCATCATCATCTGTATTGATTATTTATTTGATTAATCTCAAATACATGTTTATATTCAACTGTATTATCCTTTCTTTAGCATTTCTAGGTTGTACAATTCTCAAAAAAACTCCTTTACTTCTTATTTTTATGAAGATACTTTCATCATTAGGATACTTGTTCATGAGTTCTTATTGTATTATTTCTGTATCGATGAAAGTACGAATAGCTTTATTCGAATGAAATCAACTAGAGAACTGTTGGAAATTTTTTCCGCTTTGAAATGACTTGTGTGAACAATTCTTTTAAAGAAGAATTGAGCTCTCTCCAAAAGTTGTTGTTCTATTACCGGGAACAGTATTCTTCAAACAGTTTCATTGTAAAAAGATGGTTACTAAATATTAGTTTTCCTCAAAAGAATTGCAAATATTTTGTTATTTGACCCCTCATTTTTATCTACTGATAGTCTACACGATAGAAATATATTTCTTTAATCGTTTAATGCTCATACATTCCTTATCTGTTTTTGTGTCAACTATATTTAAAAAATATAGTTAATGCTATACTTCCAATAGTAATAAAACTAGGCACTTTGATGCGACCACAGGTTGTTAGAAGGATGTTACATCTCTAGCAACCATTTAGAACTTGACGACACTATTTAAGACTACTCCCATTGTGTTCTCAACATCGTTGCACGTAAATGTGTATAATAAAAAATACAATGTGTTCTAAGATGATCCTATGTGACTGAAGTATCATTTTTTGTCAAAAATTATATTTTTATCAGTTTATGATAACCACAGCTAAGTGAACAAATAAATTAATCCAATATAAAATCATAATGATAGTGACATGCAAAATGTTTTTGAATGTCATCATTGTAATGTTAGGTTTTTTTTTATTTCGTTCATCATGACGCAAGAGTTTCTTTTCTTTATCTTCACTCTTTATCAATTACTCTAGGAAATTTGCAGATTCCACTGCTTTTTTCTTCAAGAAAAAAAAAAACATATCAAATATCAGATTTTCATTTATTATAAGTCATAGAAGATAATAAACAAACTATTTCTAATGTGAACTAGATTGTTAATGATTTAAAGATAGTTAGTTCATCAAGTATGATGAGAATTTACAACAATCATAGGATTAAATTAGAGATATTTTATCAAACAATACTACTACAGAATATTACATAAAGCAGATTCTTCTTTTAATCTTGATTGATTGACAAGTTTTTTCAAACCACTCAAAAATCGACTATATTCATCGAGATGAAAAAGATCTTTTCCAATCTTATTTCTCAATCGATTATATTCTTCTTCAATACGTAATGGTGAATCAATAATTAATTGTCCATAAATAATAAGTTGAGATCCATCAATAAAATTCAATGCATTTAATAAATAATCAGATAAATGATTTTGTTGAAACCAATATTTTATGTCATTACGTGTCCATTGATCAGGTAATTTAGTTGATATTGTTTGGGCATCATTTAATGAAAGAATTGATGTAAATGATGATATTAAATTAGAAAATTGTTCTCTACTTACACAATGATCACGCATTCGATGTTCATATTCATCATATTGTGCATCATCATGTGATAATAACTTCATATATGTTAGTAAAGCTCGACCAGATGATAGTTGAAGAGTAGATGGTGGTAAATGAAGCCATTGTTGTACTTCTTCACAAGTCCATTGTTCGATTGGAGAAGTAGGTATAATGTCTGATACAGTAAGATTTGATTGTAATTGTATGTCAGAAATTTCTATAATTGGATTGGTGTTTACATGTAATGATGATGTTTCAATAGTTTGAATATTAGTAATTGTGTTTGAATCAATTTCTGATTTTGATTTAAGTTTTAAATGAGATCCATGTGAATAAGCAAGCTTGTTATTATTTTGTGGTACTTCATCTCGTACAGTAATTAAACCTAAAAGAGTTTCCATAACTTCTTCATCATTTTTCTCACCTCCAAAACGAACCCATGTTGCGGAACCAGCACGAATTTCAAACCAATCTTCTGGTATATAATCTTTTCCTATATAAACAGGTACCATACGTTTGTTACGTTTATCAGCATGAACGACTTCCCTTCGACAGCTTTTTGAACCACAATAATTTTCTGTTACAATCATTACAATAACATTACATTGAGTTATTGCTTTAGCAATTTCTTCCCAATCATCTTCATATGGTGGTGATAATTTATTAAAATCTACCCAAATATCACCTTGATAATGTTCTTGAATTTTTGTAACAAGGTTTTTACAAAATTTGGCGTCTTTATGTGAATAAGAAATCATAACTTTTATTTGATTATCATCATCATCATCATGATTATGATTATCTTCAATTGGTTGTATATCCATTTGTATACAATCAAGATTAAAAAGAATTCCTTTAGCTGCGCGTTTCATGTCTAATTCATATTCATCATTTGATTGATTTTTTGCTCTTTGTTCAACGAATGAAAGAAATTCATTATTTAATTTTAATTTAATAGAATATTCAGATAAAAAACTAATTGACCAAAATATTGTATAAAGTGATGAACAAATAATTGTATTAAGTACTGTTGATTCACATATGTTATTAAATAAAAGAAATTTTTCAATAAATAATTCATATATATTGTCACGTGAAATAATATAAGTAAGCAATGCATCATTAACAACTAATTTAACTAGTCCCTCTAAATATTCACAAACATTATATGGACCACAGGTAAGATCAACAGAATCAAATGCTTTCATTGTTTGTTCAAGAATATAATCAAGAATTGTTTGAATATTAGAGACACTTTCATTTTTTAATTCCTTCGGTTCCAATAATTTTGCATAAAGAAGATAATAAGCCATACGAATATCTTTATCGTCTTCGTTATAATCAATAACTGACGATTCGGATAAATATTGTTCTTTCCATTGCTTAATACTATCAATCATTTTTAATTCATTTAGTGCTTTTACACCAATGGGATGTCGAGCTAGATTATGTAATATATTAATAATGCAAGACCATGATTCAAGAGAAATATATTTTATATGATCTCGTTCAATTGATATCCATTGTAAAATAGCATTTGGATAACCAATTTGAACAAAATAGGGAACAAATCCATAGATATCTGTCATGTTAAGAATCCATTTAAAAATTGATGTATAGACTTGAGATTGTTGATCATTATTTAAAAAATAATTATTTATATAAGTTATAAATGCTTGTAAAAGTCGTTCGGTTGAATTATTTAATTGAAAAAATGTTGGAATATTTTTATGTGAAACAAATATTGAATAAGAAATACCTCTTCTTGTATAAAGCGATCGTGCACCAATAGAAGCAAACAAATGAAGAAAATATTCATCCATATTTGATAGAATATGTTTTTTATTAATAAGATAATTAATTGTTGAATCATTAATTAAATAAGTAAGTGATAAATCAAAATAATAATCACATAACACTGGATATATTGCCATATTTATATACATTTGAAAACGAATTGCATCGAATAGAGCTTCTAAGAGATTAGATGGAATTATTGAAGAATATCGTTTGATAAAATGAGAAAAGGAATTTATTTCAAAATAATTAAGAGTAGACATCCGTTTCTGATTTTCATCAATTGTTCTTATATCCCATTCATCATCGATTTTTTGCAATTGATCACGAAGATTAATTAATGGATGAGACTCGATTTTCTTCAGCATATCATCGTGAAATAGAAGAGTTTCTAGTTGATGAATACAATTAAATATTGGATCGTTGTTAGTAGTCATACTGCTCGCACGAAAACAACAAATAATCAAGTGTACGTTTTTTGTCCTTCGTTTTTTTTTCTTTCTACAAATATGAAAGGTATATTTCATTTCAACGACAGCATGTAAAGATAATTAAACGATTTATGCGCCTGATAAAAATATCGTTTCTCCTTTTGCACTGAAGAGAATATTATAGAATACGACACTCATTATTTATATTAACCCTTTCGGGACGGGTGGTACACCTTATATACCACAGCCTTTTTTTTTAAAAGAAACATGTTATGTATTGACGATGGGAGGTAGTTGTGTACGCATTAGAATATGCTTATAGTAGTGATGTATATCTAATATGACTTGCATGATTATACCCTATTTTCCACCTTTTCTTCTCTACATCAACCTATCATGATGTACCTTCCCTGATTTATTTTCTCGCATACGCAGGTGCACGTGGTGTTGTTAGGTGGCATCGTCATTTATACATTATCCTTTTCTTTCTATGATCACCATGATGTCATCATATATGTGTATTTTTTTTTTTTTTTTTTATTATGCTCGTGAATGTAACACTCGGAAGTGCTTACATAAGAAAAAGAGAAATATATATGTATAAGCGAAAAGCAGCATCATTAAAGCAAAGCGTTACAATTTGTGCCAACAATATATTGTGCTGCGTACCAATTTTTGCTTATAGAGATATTTAGGGAGTAAATAAATGAAAACACGAATAAAAAAGTGTAAAAAGAAAGAGAGAGAGCGAGAAGTACTGATTATAAGCGGCAGCGGAGATACGTGAGTATAGCGAACAGCTAGAAAAAAAACAAAAAAGAAGAACAAGCTAAAAGAAACGAACGAGAGAGAAAAAGAAAGAAGAAGAGAGAATGCGAACAGAACCGAAAGTGAATAACTAAAAAGAAGAAGAGAAAAAGAGAGAAAAAAAAAGAGGAAGAAAATTGCGTAAAGACTACATTACATTTATGCGTCTTTCTGTGATGTTAATTCGTATCAACAAAGTACAACCACTTAAAAAGGAACGATTCGTGTCGATCTTTCAATTGTCGCACACGACGTGTGCGAAAAAATTGACCAAGGCGATCGTTTTTCCTTTTAAAAAAATTATCCCAACCAAATATATCTTCATAGAAGAATGAAGAACCAAGATCAGTTGTGAACATAGTTTTTAATCTTCGTTGAATATATTTTTTAACGTAAAATTGTAAGGGCTGTTCAGAAGTGACTTTAAACAGATTATTCGCAGAAATGAAGGGACAGCGATGCACCAACCGAAGTCCTACACGGAATTTTTGTTCCAATACATGCTGTAGAGATTCTGGGAGGAGAGGAAAAAGCGGGAATAGCCACGCGAAATGCGGAAAAGTGTACGCGAAGAAACATTGACGAAGAGCTTTACGTGACATTTTGCGACCGGACTTCATCCATTTCAGTTTTCCTAGCGATCTCTGAATAAATCCTATGGTTTTATCGACTGTCGGTTTCAACGAAAGTTTATCCGTCCAAGTAAACCCTAGGTATTTGAATTCTTTGACTAACTCGATTTTATTTCCGTCTATTGTTACGTTTACTATAGGTCTTTTAACTTGTGTATGAAATAGTTGTACTACAGTTTTTGAAACATTTAACGGCTGTTTCCACTTTTTTGAGTACATAAAAACCTGATTACAAACTCGTGACCCTTCTTTTTCTAAGTCAATCATCGGGCCTAATTTTTTCATTATTGGAGGTTTAATTAATACACACAGATCATCTGCAAATAGATGACATGAATGAGCTCCTAGATAATTTGTCAGATCTGAGTGAAACACTATAAATAAATACGGACTAAGACTACTACCCTGCGGCAGTCCTATATTTATATTAAAAATTTTCGAAGTTATTTCACCATATTCTACGTAAGCTTTTCTATCTTTTAACCAACTACTAGTCATTTTCAATAAGTTTAGAGGCATACCCATTTTTTCTAGTTTACAAAGAAGAGCGGCATGCCAAACACGATCATAAGCCTTTTGGTAATCGACATAGAGGGCAAGTGTCGGAATAT